ATAGTGGCCCTCGAGGTCTGGAGTTTGACACCCTTGTAATAGTGGATTAGCAGAACTGTGCCCACCACTGCAGAAGACTTAAGTCGTGCCTACGTGTTTTTTTCAGAGAACAAATAATTCTGCTGAGGCTTGCAGAGTCTGAGATGGAGCGTTACACAGTCTGACCTTCAGGGTGAGGATGACTGGCACGCTGTCTGAAATGTTTTCCACTGGTGGTCGTTGTCTGCAGAACGATGAACTCCAAATARTTTAGAAATGACCTTTGACCCTTCCAATCTGCAGCTCCTGATCAAAGAATAATTTTGTAATTTGGTTCAGTTTTTATAATAAATAAATGACATAAAGGCTTTTTCTCTCTTTTGTTTTATTACCAGGTTCAAACTTGAACCAGATTCATGAAACCTCAGAACTGATCGGGTTTGGACCTTGTTTTTCCTCTGACTGCATGTAGAACCAGAGCAGATGGTCTCAATTAAGACATCTAGTCTTTTTTCTTTCCCTCTTTTGGGCTTGAGATGAGTTATTTACAGAGAGGATGAAGTCACTGACCCAGGCAGTATCCTGGGCTGATGTGGATCTCGAAGACGGCCACGCTGCTCCCCGCGCTCAGCCCAGGCTTCCCTTCCACCACCATCTAATGGACAGCACGTGTTAGGTGGAACCGCTCAGSAATGAAAGGTCAAAGGTTAAACACGAGTATGAAATGCAGCTGGTTGAARGTAAAATCASCACAAACATGTTTTTAACGTGTGAAAATCAGATTTATTGATTTGACGASTGGAGTGAGACGAAACGCCTCAAACAGCTGGTCTCGGCTCTCCTCCACTCACAGGTTATTTCTGTCCCCTTGTCTCGGCTCAAGTGTTTATACGCTGAGGGGCCCACACATGGTGCAGGTCTGGCACCGACCCGGGTCGGTCCCGGACCCGTCAGAGGCAGAACATAAACACCAGTCACGCTCTTTCCAGTGTTTATATTATCAGAGAAGCTCTTCATATTGGCCTAAATTTAGACGTCGACCCGTCAACAACAGCCGAAGTTTTCCTCYTCAGCTGCTAATTTATTCAATATTTAAATCTGAATTAACAGTCAGCAAATTAACTCTAAAATACACCTTTTGAAAAATAAAAAACCTGACTTATAATGTCTAAATTATTTTTTATGGACAAAATTATGATTTTTTTCTTTAAAAAATGATTGTAAAATTACATGATTTTATGATCTTTTGGTCTGAAATAAACTGATTTTTTTCCCTTCACTGACATAAAAATATAAACAAATCTACACTTGAAGGAATGCACATCATCCACTGCCTTCCAAGAGTTTTAAACTAGCATAATCTTCTATCTAAAAGTGRCACAAAGTGCAGCCATTTTGATTAMAGTTTAAARCCTGATCTCACAGGTGTCACAGTCTGTGTTGTGGATGACTCTCAGCTACCACCACACCAAACTTTAGCTCAGTGTCTGTAAAACTCACTGAGCTGCAGCTATCTTGGTGATGCTAATCTCAGTTAGCTGCTAACCATTCTAGACTGGATCAAACAATGTAGATTAAAGATAGTTCTTCAATCAAAAAGTTATTTTACTCTTAATTTTTAGTCATTCCTCTATTTTTATTTAAAAAATACGAATTATAAACCCAAACGTTTGGTGCCAAGTGACTGAATTTAGTCAATTCTCCTCAGAGGACGAACATTTCTTATTTTTAACACTAAATGACCTTTCCTTCTTTAATCATGACACGATGCTAATGTTGTCTTRTTTTATTCAGGGGTCAAAGTAAAGTTCAGGTCCTCTTACTTATTAATGACAAACAGTTTAATAAAACAGATTWATGAATGAGGACATGTTCAGTTTGACACATCAGGTCACCAGGTTGTGCTGCTCGTCAACCGACACATTTACTGTTTACTCCACATGTCAAACTCAAGAACACTAGCCATATGTGGCCCACCACCGCATATTGCATGGCCCACAAGAGCTTCAAAGATGCATTTGTTTTAAATTTTATACACAATTCGTAGTATCTATTTGAAAAAATAAGATACAAAAGGTATCTGATATTCTTTTTGTTTGATATTTTGTAAATATGGTGATTAATGATGAGCTTGTTGAAGTTGTTTCTTAAAAATAATAGGCTTTTTTCCCACTTTGCACCTTTTTCATTCATGGCATGATTTCCTTTTGATTTTTATTTACTGTGCATAGATTTAGTTTTTATGAATGAAATAARCTGACTAAAATAAATTTAAAATAAGCTGCTTTAAAGCCAGCATTGACCATAAACTACATCTCCCATAATGCAAGTTGACTATTTTCCCTCCAAGATGGCGGCGTCCCACCACTAGGTGGAGCTGCACAGGGTTCAAGGTGAAATTCAACGTGTAAAATCTCCCTTTAGCTGCATTTTTGCTACTGTGAAGTGGGAATTTTCCACTTGCAATTTGCTAATTTAAACTGGAACGCCCCTTCAGTGGGAATTCCCCGTCAGAGAGAGGGAAATTTCCGAATTCAAGTCAGCAGCTACTCACAACTCAACAATGAGTAAAACTCTTACTCTAGTATTTCTGTTTTATTTATTTCACATGTAGTCAGTCGTACATGTAATAATTTTCAGTGTTTATAAGAGGATGTGTTAAAACACTGTTTCTATGCAGGAAATACCAGGTAGAGCTCAGTTATTGTGATGTTCAGAAGTTAAACACAAAACATGAACGTTACTTACAACCATGATGATCATGTGGCCCTCAGTAAAAATAAGTTTGAAGCCCTGGTCTACCCTCAGTGATGCAGATTTAAAGAGTTTACCCTGAAAGGCTCGGAGTTGTTCTGCAGGTCCACGCTGGCGGTGATCCAGCTGTCGGACGGCGCCTGGCTGCTCCACAGCGGCTCGTCGAAGCTCCGGCCTTCGGTGCGCCTCAGGATCTCCAGACGCCCCGACTCCACGATCTGATAGACGAGCCTCAGGCAGCTCCACTCGTCGTGCTCCAGGGACGGGCTCAGCAGAACTCCCGTAACGTCTCCCTTTGGTTCCAGGCCCGAACCCGAACCGCCCTCCAGGTCATCGTTCACAGCTGCTTCTACAGCGACAAAGTGTCCTGAAGAAGAACGAGAAAATCGTGACATGGATCGTGACAAGGAGTCTGCATCGTCTCACAGGTTCTGGTTCTGGACCGTGCAAAGTTTTGTCAGGATTCTGGAAAAGTTTCTCAGGATCCTGCAAAGGTTTTTCAGTATCCTACAAAAGTTTCTCAGTATCCTGGAAAGGTTACTGTAAATAACATGAAGCCCTGTTACATGGTGGTCCACAAGGCTCAGTACTTAGTCCAGTATTGTTCCTTCTATACATCAGCGCCCTTGGTAAGATTATCAGCAATTTTATAAATGGATTTGCTGATGATATCAAACTGTTCTGCTCTTTCAGTGATTCAGAGTTAGTCAAGTAAGCTAATTTACTCAATTCTTATATTAAGGACTGGTTTGCTAAAAACTGTCTGAATAAAATTCAGTAAGACTAAAACTAATCTGAGCAGAAAGTTTCTTTGATCAAACACCTCGGTTCTCTGGGCCCCTCTTAGTCTGGTCTCAGAAACCTTGGGGTTTTATTTGACAAGTCATTCTCAACAGTTGGTCAGAAACTGTTTTTATCATTTGAGAAATATCTCTAAACTGAGGTCTATGTTAAATAAATCGGACCTGGAGATGATTAGTCACGTTTTTATCTCTTTTCATTTAGACTTTTGACATTTAGAGCTCTAAATGGACAAACTCTTTATTCTTCTGGACGCAACTTTTGGTCTTCAGGCCAAAATCTCCTGAAAGTTCCTAAAACCAGGTTTAAGACTTGACAGGACCTGTCCTTAGATTATGCACCACCCYGCCCCTGTGTCTCCGTGTGTTGACTTTTTTTAAATTTATGTATTATTTTGTGCTTTATTAGTCACGTTAACTTGTTTTACTATATGCTTTTATGCTCTTATTGTTTGTATTTATTTTCGTTTTGCTCCTTGTGAAGCACTTTTTGGTCTCTATCTGTGAAATGTGATTTACAAATAAAATTAAACTAGAATTTCTGGATATTAAAAGTATTTAATGACTGGAGTCTCCAAAATGTTTCAAAAACATTCAGAGGAATCTGGTCCTGGTGAGATTCTCAGAGTCTTCCTGGCTCGTTTTTAAAAACTTGTTGCCAACAGAAATGTGAAAACAAAGACGTAGTTTGTTTTACAGAAACAAAAGAAGATCAGGTTTTATAGGTGGAGTCAGAACCGTTGGTTCGTCTCCTGCTTGCCGTCCCCATCCTGAAACAAATTCATGTGTCCAAACACTCCAACAAATCACTAACTCGTATTTTTAGCATTTATCAGATTAGATTAGGTCTGGATAAAATCAGTGTTGATGCTCTTTTTTAGTGTTCAAAGGGAAAAAAACATGACTTCACTTTATCTGTTTGACAAAAACCCACTGAGAGAAGAATAAATCAGCTGAAGGACCAACTGTACCGACCTTCTGCAACAAGCCTGCAGCAACAAGGACGGAAACAGGAGGAGGAGAAAAAACTTTCTGGATGAAACAGACGGGCACTTTTCAGACCAGTGCCATTGTGGTTAAAAGAAAAAAATAAATAAAAAAGTTAATGAGACATTTTCCAGCAGTGTTTCTGGTTACCAGCACAGTGGGAGCAGGATGATGCCACGATCAGAGAATGTCTGGCTGTTTGACTAGAGAAGCAGCCGAAATTCACTGTATCTGATTTTATTATAGTTTTTAGTTTTTCTTTTATTAAATAAAGAAAAACCCACAAAGATCACTGAAATAACCTGAAACTGACAAAAAATAATAAGAAAAGAAAAACGAAAATTAAATCGTGCCCCTAGAAACGTCCTCAGGTGTCTTCAGTGAGTTTAAAGCTGGCAGGTAGTCACAGGGCTGTTTGCTGGCAGGGTGTGTAACACACTGAACATGGGAGACAGGAAGCTGAGGACAGGGCGTCTCAGGAGATTAAAAAAGACAATTACTGACGTCATGTCAAAGGTTAACGACTACAAGACGTCTCCAAACAGCTGGATGGACACGGGACTGAAGACAACGTCCCGGATGTGTCCACATGAGGACAAATGATGATAAACTGAGGAGACAAAACACTAATCAAAGAGTCCASAACAACTTCCACAGAGATTAAAGATAAAGTTCAAGATCAAAGGTCATCAGTGTCAGGAAGACTGTAGAGTTTTTATAATCGATGTTGTTAAATATAAAAATAACGGTGGGACAGAAAGACATCAGGTCAACGAGGATAAAAAAACGATAGTTAAATCCAGAAAAGGTTTTCTCCTCTCACTCAGTCTGCTCCGCAATTCTTCCATCGTTCTCCTGATGATGTCATCTACAGAACCASTTCCAGAACTCTCCTCCACAAACTGGACTCTCTTCACCATGAAGCTGTTGGATTTGTGTCCTGCAGCACCGGACTGTGTTCCCYGATGATCCGAGCCTCTTTTCACTCCCAAAGACAATCCCCAGGATCCTGGAAAAGTTTCTCAGGATCCTGAGAAAAATTATAGGATCCAACAAAAGTGAGGATCTGTTTTTTCCCCCCAATGTCTCCTTACAAGCTTTGTATTTAGAGTGTAAATTCATGTTACATCACAACAAATCATTAATTTGGACTTCGCTAAACAGGTAAAAAATCCTGAATCCCATTGCATCAGATGCAAAGTGAGTTCAGTAACTCAGGGACTGTTTTTCTTCTCATCTTCACAGGTTTCTGTTGATCGAACCTGTAAGACCTGAGGCAGCTGATTGGGCAACAAACCCTTAAGTATTCTTTTTGTTAGGGTTAATTTCTTCAGCTGATTTTTTAAAACGTTTTGTCAGTTTCAAGTTATTTCAATGATTTTGTTGTTTTTTTTCTTTCTTTAGCTAAAAGATAAAAGAACTTTCTGTTTCTGTCAGTTCAGTGACTCCACCAAGACAAGTAAAAGTGATCCAAACTCACCTGACTCAGTGTTTACACCTTTAATCACATCAGTACTTTAGTTGAGTCATAAACTAGTAAATATAAGAGCTGAGCTGATCTGCTGTTTGCTTTTAAAGAGATAAAATAACGTGACACACTTTGAACTTTAAAGTTCCTGTGACACATGTATCCTTTGAATACAAAGAGTCAAATAAATTTAACATAAAACACCTGATTTTACTCATTTTGTCACATAACTTTCACACTTTCTTAGCTCAAAGTCAAACAGGAAGTGACATCAAAGGGAAACTCGTTAATAAATGTTTTTTAAGTGAAACCTTATCTGAACTCTGACTCTTCATCTCTCTGACAGACTCATGATGATCTAAAGAAACATCAGATTCTTCTCTACAGTCTGTGTTATTGTAGCAACGCTCTGTTTACATGCAGACATTCCCCTTTGACATCACTTCCTGTTATTGAGCATGTGAATATCTCAACTGCTGTTTATCTCAGCTTTGTTAAAATTCTTTTGCAATAAGTTATCAACAATATCTTTCCAAAAATGCATTCATATTTATTACAAAAACAAAATGTCACAGGCACTTTAATGGCTTGGAGCAGATCAGACTTCCTGTCAGAATGAACTGAATGTGATCCTGCAGCCACATCCAGAGCTTCCTGAACGTTGAGCGTAAACTTTACTTTCTGGCGTCAAAAAAAATGCATCAAACGCTGAACTGAACTCATTCATCCAGCCGGCCTGAGCAACATAAATAAACAGTGACGCAGCTTTGATACGGACGTGTAGAACAACTCATTCATACATCAGCTGCAGCACCAGCCCCTTCAGGGACGCCAAAATGTGCTGTTTCACTGCCTCCAGATGTTCAGAGATGCTGGGATCAATGCAGACCAGATGGAACAGTTTTCAMCCRGCGAGCTTTAGAAGAACGGCCAAAAAAACACAGAAAAAATATAAAAACTGAACCAAAAATAGCCTCAAATAGAGCCGAGATTCAGTGGATCTCCGCTGGAAATGTGTGACAGAGYAAGAGATGAGAGAGTACCATCTTTGTGCAGGGTCCAGCTGGTGAACTCTGGGTCTGACGTGTACCCACAGGTGTTGGACTCGAAGCTGCAGGAGCCTGGCAGCAGCAGGTTGTGGGCTTGGACCGAGGCTTGGAGCGCAAGGAGGGGAAAAAAACGGAGGGAAGAGAGAGAAGAAAACGGTAAATATGAATCATCACAAGTGTCGTCAGGAAAACCTCATCCTCCAGTGCTGGCATGGAGGAGCACTCACCCAGGAAGGTCAAGAACCAGACCAGGAGCACCGCAGAGCTCTTCACAGGGATGGAATCCATGAGTTAAAAGAAAGAGCAAAAATTAAAAAAAATTCAATAAAAACAAAAGGAGGTAAAGTTTGAGGACTTTTCTTGTGTTGCCTGAGTGTCTCTCCAGCTCGCAGACTGGCAGCACACTGCAGACGTTCTGCAGGAGGAGCAGGAGGTCTGAGAGGAAGGAGGGGAGGAGAAAACGAAGGTGACTGATGAGCTGACGAGGAAAAGAGAAGGAAAAGGGGAAGAGCTGAAGAGAAACAGCAAGGAGACGGTGGAATTAAAGGAACACTCTGCACAAAAACAAACAAAAAGAAAGATCAAAGAACAGAAGGCTGGATTTTACGAGCTAAAGTGAGACGACRGAAAACAAAGAGCTAAACATGGATGCTTATCGCCCGCCAGCTGTAAAGACACAGTYTGAGTCAGAAAGATGGTTCTGTTTAATCATAACTTTACTGATGACCTCATTCTGTGAGCTGCAGATAACTTTACCACACCAAATACTTTGCTAACAGACGCAAACACAAAAAAACATTCACCATTTTAGAGGTGGAATCACAGATGGACAACTGGCAGCTCTCGGGCCAAATCAGGCCCGTAGGTGACTTCTTCTGGCCCACACCTAAAACAAAAAAAAAAATCACTCAAAGCTTAGAGCACKTAGATTTATGAAAAATCACAAAAATGTATAAAAGTGTCTCAGTGACACTGAATAGATCATTTTAAAGTTAAAAATTCTCACAAATGCAGATACAAACCTGATGTGTTTGCTCTGAACTGATTTCTTTRGGATCACAGGTGAGATTTTTCATAAATATTTACGCTATAAATCAGCTTTTTGAGCTTGATGAATTTGCATCCAATTAGGTTTTCAGTAGCCTGGCCCTTGCCTTCCTACACAGCTCCGCTCAATTCTAGTTTCCCTTCACTGCTCCGTCTGGGACTTCTCCCATTCAGATGGATTTCGCTGGCAGATTTTTACCTGGACCAATCAGAGAACAGAAGGAGGAGCTTTTGAATGACGTCCATGTTCTGCGCAGTGTCTGCTATAGTTTAGCATACGGCAGTGGAGGAAGTGAATGAAGCCAGTCTGTGTTGATAAGACTTCCAAATTAAATTAAATTTGTCTGACAAAGCAGCAGCTCTCATTTACAGTCGCCTCGTTCAGTTCGGTACTTCTCTCCTCTCAGTAGGGTTGTTTACAGCACACGCGATTTCCGGTTAGCTTCTTAGCTTAGCCTCCGTCACAGCGACATGCTTCAGCAGAGGCCACGCCTCCTGAAAGGATTCTCTATGCATCAAGTCCAGACCCTTGTACGAAGCAAAGTGAAGGACAGGGTCTGGTTTTAACCAGGCTAGGCTTTCAGAGCATCCTCAGTGTTTTAACAGCTGACCTGTGACCCGSAAGTGTTAGGCTCCGCTAGTACTCGTAACGGTACCACTTTACAACAAGGGTTTCCTTGTAGATGGCTTATAGATAGGTTATTAATTCATAAACATTTTATAAATCATTAATAAGTGTTTATTATGCAGTAATTAAGGATAAGAAAGAGACAAACTTGTCAGTTTTCTTGCCAAAGAGTGACCCAAATGTGTTCCTAATTGTCTGAATTGACCAATTCTCCCAGAGAGGAGAGAGTCMACCCTCTGAACCCCTCCCAGTCGGTCTGTTTTTGTCTCAGATGAAACAAAGTCATGTTGCTGTGTCGTTTGTAGAGAGGAGAGGCCGTGACCTTTCACCTCTCACCTGATAACCTGTAGAGTCTGAAGCTGTGTTCACTCTGCAGGAAAACCAGACCCAGTTCTTTTCAGCAAGTCAGGGGCTAGAATGGATATAATCCAACTGTTTCATCTTTGTTCTTTCAACTATCCACAGAAACACAACGTCGGCCTCAAATCATATAGATACTAAAGTTACTAGATCRATACTTCCACGTGTCMAACTCAAGGCCCASGGGCCAAATGTGGCCCACAACAGCATTTTATGTGGCCCGCGAGAGCTTCAAAGATGTAYTTATGTCCTAAAATAAGCTGCTTTAAARTATGGAGGACTGAAACTGACATAATTAGAAATAAAAAATGAGAACTTCACCTCTTGTTTTATAATTTAACTGACCTCCAAATTTATTTTTCCAGCTTAGTTCCAATAAATTCTCCATTTTAGGCCATAATTTACATTTTACTGTTTTTAAAATGATCTGTCTGAGTGTCTGAGCTGCACCTCAAACCGCTGGACCACAGGGACCACCCATATGGTTTTTATGAATGCTTTTGTTAAATTTAGATTTTAAATATTATCTTTAGAAGAAGTTAGCGTCAGATAAACAGTATGATGTCATCATCCTGCCATAAACAACAACGGACACTGCTAGCCACTGTTAGCCACCGCATTTTAAATATATTTTTTAACATTTAAATTTAACATTTAGTAAAAAGTAGTTAAAAACTAGACATGCGTTTTTACAATGTAAAAACAAGTGTGCATTGCCACGTAGCATGTCATTGCAGCATGGCTTTGCCTGCAGAATTGGACTTGCAGAGGCCACATTGCCAATACAATTATTGACACTAAACTGCATAATATTACAACCATAGAGCAGTATTAAGACAATATTATAGTAAAACATCAAAATACAATCATTTTAGTACTGTAAACACTGAACTACTGAGTTGAAATATTAAACTATGGTGCAGTACCAAGTTGAGTACAGCATGGTGCAGTATTGGACCAATACAAGGCTGCATTGACTGCCATTATAATTCATTAAACATTAATATTTCATWAACTATAGGTTTTACAGGCACCAAAAGGCATAGCCATCATTTGGCACAGGGGCTTTACAGATATAAATTGCAATGGCATCTCTAGGACAAAGTATGCAGGAGGAGAAGCATGGCAAAGTTGAGACGACTTGGATGGGAAACGAATCACAATAGTGTGCATTGCATTGGCAATGCACACTGATAAAGAAAAATAAAGAAAAGTGAGCTAAATAAAAAGAAAATATTAGTGTAATTTCTTAACATTTCATTTTACACTTGGCTCCCCAACCTGTTTTAAATGCAACATAAACATGATTTGATGAAGATCATTTGTATTTCTATAACCCTCTTTCAATAAAAACTGGACCAGGTTTTGTACAGATGGGTGACTGGACCAGTTTGCAGCTGATCCTGAACCAGGTTTTTCTCCTGCCTGGCTTCATAATTACAGAGCCATCCAGGCAGGAAAGAGTTAACAAAAAGCAGCCGTGTGGAAACATCCCATCATTAAAACCCTGACTGAACTTCGAGAAAAGAGTCAGAAACCTCTGCAGAAACACTTTCACTGAACCAGGATCATTTGGACTGCAGCAGTTAAACCTGAGGAGGAAGCAGAGGAACGACTCGTCCACATTTGTTCTCCATCTGTCGGGTCAGTCGTAGGGCTGTGTATTGGCAAGAATTTGGCGATACGATACATATCATAACAGAGGGGCCACAATACGATATATCCCGATTTATTGTGATACTGTAAGCAAGGCAATATATTGTGATAAATTGCGATTTTTTGTCCAAAAATTCTATTAAATAAAAACCTCTTACTGAAAAAAAAGAAAAGCTAATGTTTACTTACAATGCTAATGCTACCCTTACTCTCTGGCGCTCAAGAGGTAGAGTAGCCAAATGGCTGGCTCCCTGCTGCCAACTAGTGGTCAGAGGCTGAACTACAACATAAAAATGAACGGTTGGCAAGAAGGTTGACATTTTAAAACCTTAATTAAAAATCGATACAGGGCTTTAGAATATCGATACAGTATCGGGAAATGAAATATCGCGATATTTCAGTGTATCGATATTTTCTTACACCCCTAGTCAGTCGTCAGCTGCTCACCTGTCAGCAGGAGGAGGAAACTCTGAGCTTTTCAGCTTTGAAACAAAGAACTGAAGTTTTCAACTGGTTTTCCTTTCTGCCTTTTATTATTTTATTTTTAGACCTGGAGCACCTTGAGCACCTGAACGAGTTTTACAGATCAAATGTTCTCCTAAATATGGCCCTGAACAGGATTGTTACAATCAGAAATGGTGTTAAAATGTAAAAAATAACCACGCCCTTGTTAACTTTTAATTTATTGAAAATAATTCTGAACATTTGTTTAACCTCAAAAGTCCAGTTTTTAATTAAATGTTGCTGAAACAACAAGTTTCTCAGTGGATCTGTGCTCCACAGTGCAGCCTAGGTGGAGTAGTCGAACACAGATCCACTGATCCTTCAACACAGAGCATCTTCAGAAGAAATGTTGATAAAATAAATGTTAAAAATCTGTATTGWTCCATACATAACGTGTATTGAACAGTTCCATACACATACAATAAATACCACATCCACAAATCAAAGTTCAGTCACTTCAGTCCCTCTTTTCTGGTGTTTAAAAAAGAGCCTGAACAATATTATTTTAAGTATCTCTGACTCTAATATGAAAGCTGTAAAAACTATTGATTTATGCACATTATTTAAAGCAGGGGTGTCCAAACGTTTTGTCACATGGGCCAAAATCATAAAGTCAGAAGGACTCGAGGGCCAAAAATATTTTTCCTTTACCTGCTCAGCAATAAACGAAGCATTGAATACTTTAATTAAACAAATAAAGTAGTCATATTTATTGCTGGAAATGGATGCGTAAATTAATTTAGATCCGGAACTTTCAAAGTGTTTTGCAGGTTTGCCTTATTGAAAGATATTTTGCAATTTTCTAGGCTTCAATTGGGGAAAAAATAACCCAATTTAGTTCAATAAAATCAGGATTTAGGTCACTCTTTTGTTGAAAATGCTTGCTGTATTCAGACGAATTTAATAAATTAATTAAAAGCAGATTGGAGTGCAGCAAAATCAGCTTTTGAGTAGAAGTCACTAGATAAATGTAGAAAAAGCTTAAAGTCTGATTATTTAAAAACAAGTAATAATTGTTGCCAATATTTTTAATTATGAGATTTTACTTTGTCTGTGATAAATTTGCCCTAATGATAAATAGAAAGTCTCCATTTACATCAAACACTTGTGCCAGGGGGGAAAATTTGTAAACAAGTTAGTATACTTCTTAAACTGAAGTCAGGGGCCACACAAAATCAGTGCAGGGGCCACAAATGGCCCCCGGGCCTAACTTTGGACATCCCTGATTTAAAGGTTTTTGGTGAGWATTCCCCCTGGATTTTGTTATATATTGATAGCTGCCCTGTACTAATTTTGTTACTTTTACTAAAATAAAAAAATAAAAAAATAAAAAACATCTTGAGGATCCAGTCATGGAGGTTTATAGAACTATAACTGGTTTAAGTCTATTGATCCAGTGGAACGCAGCGCCCCTAGCGGCAGCTGATGAAACTGCGCCGAAACGAACCGGAACAGCGCCTCTAGCGGCGGAGCGCAGTACCGCGCGTTGCAGCACTTTGCGGGCTGCTGCTGCTGCTGCTGCTGCTGCTGATGGAGTGGGCGGGTTCGGGGCTGCTGTATGGTCGAACCGAGCCGTTCGTCCGATCCGCCACAGCATCAGCGGGCACCGATGAAAGGCGCTTTGTGCCCCGATAATCCGCTCTGATGTCACGGTGCAGAAGGAGGGGCTGAGTTTCCTGCTTTCATCGCACCGGCTCGTTGTTGTTGTTGTTCGGAGGAACAAACCGAGCCGAGCCGAGCCGAGCCGGGCCGGGCCGGGGCGAGGACAGGAGGGGGGTTCGGGAGGAGGGAGGGGGGAGGCGATGTGGACCACGGCGGCCGACGGAACCGGGCCTCTCCTCCTCCACGATGAAGGTAATAATCGTGTCGGGGATTAAAAACAGAAAAAGGTTCACAGATGGCGGATTCTGCACCTGACWGGACTGGACCGGTGAGACAGGTGACAGCTCGGATGTTTTAATATATTTATTAACAATGTAAATATAAAACTGTTTTTAAAAAATACAGACAGGAAACAGTCTGTTTCTGTAAAGGATCGAGAAAAATTGAAGCATTTTGGCCTTTTTATCACATTAAAAGCGTTTTTTTTTATCATGGGAGGGGATTAATGGAGCCCTGCGGCCTTTCAAAATAAAAGCATCTGCCTGTTGTGCTCATGTATTCATCACCAGAGCTGCTGTAAGGTGATGCATCCCAACATGGACCATATGCTGAGTGTGTTTGTGTCATCATGGTGTGTCATAGTGTAGTGTGTGTGTGTGTGTGTGTGTGTGTGTGTGTGTGTGTGTGTGTGTGTGTGTGTGTGTGTGTGTGTGTGTGTGTGTGTGTGTGTGTGTGTGTGTGTGTGTGTGTGTGTGTGAGGCAGAGAGGATGAATCATGCAGGAATCCAGAGCACAAATAATCAACTACATCATCAATAATCTCAGATTTTGTTTGAGCAAAACAACGAAATGCAAACCCAGTTGTGTTTAGATGCTAAAATCTGGTGCTTGTTTGTCACGTTTCTTTCTAAAAATGTAGAAATCAATCATCAAGAGTGAATTTTTAACCCATCAGTCACAGCGAGTATTTAATTTGGGACCTGGGTTTAATTTGAATTGATTAAAATGTACAACAGTTAAAGATCTTCTCTTATCCCGTCCTTCCTGTAAACATGTCTTCAGGTGTCAAACATTCATCCTCATATATAATAAACACATTTTCATTATTTAGTTTACTTTGAGTGTAAAATCCAATTATTACATTTTGATAATTTTTACTAAATGTTGAATTTAAATGTTAAATGTGTATCTAAATAGTAAATTCTAAATGTAAAAGTTAAATGTGGCAAAATGGTAAAATTTACATTTAAGTATTTCAGAATGGAACCCAGCTTTTCTTGTGATGTCATCATCCTGCGACAAAAGCAAATGCTAACACTGCTAATGTTATACTTAGTTTTATTAACATAAAAGCTTGAGTTTGTCCAGAGAAAGAATTAGCTCTACAACTTGCTTACAGCAAAACTACCGCGTTTAGCATATCCAAACCATATTATTATTAGCTGCTAACAGCAAAGCTACCAATGGCATCACAACAAAAGCTGCACTCTAACAGCAAAGGCTGTGCTCCATTATGAAATTTTAAAATTTAACTTTTATCATTTAGCTGCAACATTTAGGATTTAAGTTGTTTAGATTTAGTATTTGATATTTAAATTTAACATTTAGTAAAAATTGGCAAAATGTCAGAGCCACGAGCTAAAAAATAATAAATGTTAGTGGAAACTAGGATTTTACTATCAGAAAGTGAGCTAAAATTAAATGAAAATGTGTTAGTGATGGTTTTTAACATTTTATTTTGAAATTGGTGCCCCAAATCCTCCTTATAATTTTGGTTTCTTGTTTGGGGACCAGGTGAACCGCAGAAGGGCCAGGTCCAGAAGTCTTCTCCTTTTCTTTCCTCAGTCTTTGAGCAGAATGTTTTTTTTATTTTATTGTTTTAGTGAAAAATGCTCCTGGAAAATCTCTGAAATATTTTGTATCAATGCTGCCTTCAAAACTCAGCTCCAACACCAGACCTTCACAGACCTGAGAGCAGTAAATGATCTGAAAGCAAAATGTTTTACTGTTATTGAGCTTTATGTTATTGTAAAACTGTGGCCCACAGATGCCGAGAACAGGACAGGAAGTTCTGTTTGTCATTTCAGAATCAGCAAATCAACAAGCGAACAAATCCCTCAGCGAGCAGCTTTCACTGCAGCCCGACAGATGGAGGAGCAGAGCTCGGCTCCCGGATCTGTCGACCCGGCTCGAATAACCGCTTCTCTGCTGGGGCCATCTGTGACCAGGGCCCCATTCCTCCTCGGTGCCTCACATCTAACACCCAATTTTTAGGACCTATAAACCCCAGCAAAGGGGAGCTAAAGCTAAATCTACGAAAGGGTGCGCTGTGGCTGTTTTTCTGTTGCAATGGAAAAACATAGTATTTTAAGTCGTGTAGGAGAAGAAAAAAGAATAAAACAAAACATTTACTACTTCAATTATCAGAAAAATAATAAGATAATTAGGAAAAAGTGGGAAATCAATATTGGACATTAATGTCGGCTCAGTTTTACATATCAGACCAATACTGATATTCTAAAAAAATGACCAATATCGACCGATACGGATATTAATGCTGAAATATCGTGCATCCCTAATGATAATTAGTTGGCTGTAGGGACCATTTTGAAATGGGCTGAGTCCAAATTTTATTCAGTTCTTCATCCAATGATTGAATGAGTGTTTCATTAAAACTCATCCACTGGGTTAATGAGATGTATTTCCAACAATAAGAAACAAATACTCATATAAACACCACTTATTATAAGCAACTTYGAGCTTAAATTTGCTTAAATTATTGTTGTTTTGGTTCTTTTTGGCTTGTTTAGAAAGTTTGATTAGGGTCAGGTTTGTCGGTTGCAGCATCCTCTGTTCGGCTAATACCCGTGACCTTTGTTGGTTGGTTTTCTTGGTCATCATTAATTAGTTTGTGATACCAGAGAGATCTGACAGACACAGACAGAAACAAAAATTCAGCCCAGCACTGAGCAATAAAAAAACCCCACAGCTAACAGTGATCGGAAAAGATCAGAGGTAGGAAATGTCACCAACATGTGATGGCACGTAGCATCATGAAAGCTATAAATGACCTCCTAAAGCAAAATTGACAATGTGTAGAAATTGTGTGGTATTTGGTTGAACCACAATGAATTTTAGAAGGTTATAAATGGTTTAAATGATTAAAATTATCTACCTTATTAACCCGTTATCTATGTGGTATACATACATGACATACACGTGTAAGGGTACGTACCTAGTGGATACCCATTATCTACAGGGTACATTACTGTTATATACCCGTTACCTACTGGGTACATACCTTGTAAATATCCGTTACCCACTGAGTACATAACTGGTAGATACCCATTATCTATAGGGTACATATTTAGTAGATATCAGTTACTTACTGGGTACATACCTTGTAAATACCAGTTACATACCAGGAATGTACCTTGTAGATACCCATTATCTATAGGGGGTACATAACTGGTACATACCTACCGGGTATGTACCTTGTAGATACTTGTTACCTATTGAGTACATAACTGGTAGATACCCATTACCTACCGGAGAAGGAACCTTGTAGATACCTGTTACCTACCGGGTATGTACCTTGTAGATACCCATTATCTACAGGGGGTACATAATCAGTGGATACCCAGTTACTTACCGAGTACATTCTTTGTGAATACCCGTTACCCACCAAGTACATAACTGGTAGATCCCCATTATTTACAGGAGGTGCATAACTGATACCTTTTACCTACCTGGTACATTATACCTTGTAGTTTACTGAGTACATTACTGGTAGATACCAGTTACTTAGCAGGTACGTACATACCCGCTACCTACCAGGTATGTACCTGGTACCTGTTACCTACCAGGTGTGTATCCGGTAGATAACTGTCAGCAATCATTGAACACAAAGTAGAAAGAAAGACTCAAATCAATTAAAAAAAAATTCATCTCCTGTGATTGGTGTAAATTTACAGATTTACATGTTGTTGGAGGCCAGGTAAAAATCTGTAAAACGTTGAGCTCCAATTGTGCTTTTTTCCATGTAGACCTTCATCTAAAAGTCACATTTTGTTCTTAAATTGAGACTGTATCCCTGACCTGGAACTAGTTTAATATTTCAGGTTACAGAACATTCCGCTCAACCTTTTAACTTAAAATGCCTTGAATCTGGACCTGTGGCGGTAACTGATGAAGACCCTGTCAAATTGAATAAGTACCAAAACCAGGCTTTTCGTTTCTCATCCACTGAATATATTTATTATTCAGAGCAATGCCCCGTCTAACCCCTCTCTGTCGGGGCTTATCAGGTACCAGATAAAGGTCCCTCCTTGTCCTGCTGCCCTTCCTCCTCCTCCTCTTCTCCCCTCATCTTGTGCCATCTGCCAGCTGCTGGTTAGACGAACACAATGCAGATTAAAGTGCACAGCTTCTCATGGGATTTAAATTTTTAGTATTTGGTGGAGCAGAAACAGGGAGATGTTACTTAACCATCATATATTTTAAGAAATATTATAACAAATTGATCTGTTATTTATTTCACCAAAGGTTTTGTGCTCAGAGAATCAGCATTCGAGGTCATTGGTTTGAAGCACATGGTGTCAATTTATCTTCCAACAAAAGAAAAGAAGCATCTGTCGACTTCAATGCAACTGGGTTTGTGATAGTTTGGGCTTGGATCAGGGTTCTGTGGTGGCAACATCTACTGCCTTCGAGGACTGCATCTTTTCACCAAGATGATGTAAAACTGCATCACCTTATAACTTTCTTCAGGTAACTTTTCCTGTTTCTCTCTGTTTCTTTGTCTTCCAGGCTGATCTATGAGTGGGGTTTCTGAAAACGTGAGTCTAATCATAGCCCAGCGATGAGCCAAAAGTATCACGAAGATGCCACAGGGGAGGCAGACGAGGACCACATGGCAGCCTCTGTGTCCCCGAGTAGCCGGCAGCCCAATGGAGAACCTTCTGTCCGTCGGTCCTGGAGGCCGTGTCAGATGCTCAACCAAGAAGGGGAAGTGAATCCTCACCACCACCACCGCCACCATCACCATCCTCCTCACCACCACCACCCTGCGGGTCGTGGACCCCCTCGTCATCGCAGACGGCCTCCATCGGGCCAAGGTCAGATTCAGAGTCCTGGTTCGGCCCCGTCTGGGGTTTCTTCCAGGTCCGACGCTGGAGATGGTCAGGACGGCGAGCCTCGTACGCTGCAGCAACTTCGCCCTGCCGTTACCCGCTACCGCCGTCACGGTGACCCCAACCCTAGACTCAGAGGCCACAAACAGCGTCAGCAGTTCAAAGAAATGCAGGATTCTCCACCTGGTGCTGATGGGAGAACAAGTACAGCTGAGGTGAAGCCACAGGAATGCGCTTCGTTCGGCCCGGTGGAGAACCAACCACAGGACAGAGGTTCTCCTCATCAAACTCCAGATGTTGTCGTTACTCCAACTCACCTCTCTGCTGGTCCTGCGGTACACGATGTGCAGGTTGAACCCCAACAGGCCTCTGCTGATGCAGAAGAGGACCTCCACCAACAAAAAGAAGAGCGTGAAGAGGAATATCGTGAGCAGGTGGCCGATGACAGAGCAGAGGGTTACTTTATCTGCAGCCATGATGAAAAAGCAGAAGAACAAGCCGAAAAGGTGGAGGAGGATCGGGAGGGCGTGGTTGACAAAGCAGAGGATGATCCTACAGCTCAGGGAAGTGAAATTACAGATCTCTGCTCCGACACTGAAAGCGCTGCCTCACTCAGTATGGATGGACCTCTCCACAGCCCCCCACCTCTCCAGTCACCAACTCCTCCTTCTTCCCCCGATGTCCTACCTTTCCCTCAGGTGGACCACTTCAGTGAGGACGTCAGCATGAGCTCTCTGCCCGACAACAATCCTTTACCTGAAGAGGAGGAAAACGACTGCTCTGAATCATGTTCACTGTCCCACTCGACCTCTTGTTCTGAATCTCATCCAAAAACCTATGCAGACTTTTACACTGAGTCCCACCAGAAACCTTACGGAGAGACCATCTTTGAATCGTATTCTGACCCAAAATGCTATCCCAACTCGTTCCCTGAGCCGCTTAAGACCTCCTATCCTGACTCACACAGGGAATCCTGCCGGCAATCTGGTCGGAGGGCAGAGGCTAACAAGCAGGAGTCACAGCAAGAGCCCTCTGTCAGCCACAGACTGAAGAATGTTCAAAGGGGGGCTTCGTCCTCCCCCACAGAGGGATTCTACCACGCTCCAAGACAGAGCAGAGACCATGGATCCCGTCCCTTCCCTCTAGATCGCTCTGTTGGCTGCCGGCTGCACCACTACGACGGGCAGTCTGACAGTGAAGGCGAGGGCACTGACAAAAGTCCCCTTTCCAAAACTGGCAGGGTGGCACCCAAGCAACCACTAACCCAAGCCAAGGCCTCGTCCCCTGGGCAGTCTGGTTCAGGTCAAGCCAAAAATGATCGAAATATGGTGGGGCTCTCAGGGGAAGCTGCAAAGGGCTCTGGAGACGCCATCAGCCTGGCGATTAAAGACATAAAAGAGGCGATCGAGGGGGTGAAAACCAAGGCGGTGCGCTCCCCCTACACACCTGACCAACCTGTGGAGCCGATCTGGGTGATGAGGCAGGAGATCAGCCCCACAGAGGAGGTACACCCACAGCAAATGTTAACTGGCCACATTAGATTGACTTAAACTTTATTTAAGTTTTAACTCTGAAGGATCTTTTAGAAAGCCTGCAAAACAGGGAAAAAGTTGTAATACACAAATACAGCCTTGCACATAATCAGGTATGCAACTGATCGATACTGGTTAGATAAGATAAGATGAGACAAGATAAGACGAGACGAGACGAGACGAGATGAGATAAGATAAGATTTTATTGTCATTGTACAGAGCACAAAAGTTACAGTTCAGAACACCCATTCACAAAAGACAGAACATAACAAACATAGGAGAACAGGAGCATCGGGTCATGCAGTCACAGACCCTTGCACAGAGCAAGGATCATCATCATGAAAGAACATCATGAAGAGGTGCTACCCTTAAAAAGAAAAACAAAATGCCACACAAGGAGAGATGAGGGGAAAAAATGTACATAATTTTACATACAGCGCACGTACTTGGTAGGTACCTGTACCCCACAGTGTACGTACCTTGGTAGATACCCATTACCTACTGGATATGTAACTGTTAGATACTGGTTACCTACTGGGTGGATACCCGTTAAGTTACTTACAGGATAAGTAACTGGTTGATACCAATTATCTACCTGGTAGATACCCGTTATGTTACCTGCAGTGTATGTAACTGGTAGATACCTGTTACCTACCAGCTATGTAACTTTTAGATACCCATTACCTACCTGGGTAGATATCCTTTACATTACCAACAGAGTACATAACGTAGAGACCATTATCTACTGGTTAGATACCCATTATGTTACCTAAAGGGTATGTAGCTTGGTAGATACCCATTATCTATCATGGAGATATTCTTTGTTACCTACAAGGTACCAAACTCATTACCTAYCAGCTACGTAAGTGTTAGATACCCATTACCTACAGGGTATATGTTCCTTGTAAATACCAGTTTTGTACCTTGTCCAACAGGGTCTTGGCTGTATTATTTATTGCTACCAAAGAAAATGTCACAAAAATTTGGCATCTTAATTAACTGCCCGGTCAACCAAACGGTTGACCATATTTTGGTTGAAGTATGTCATGCTAAATACATCCACCAGAAGGCACTGTGACAGTAAATGGTTAATTCGTCTTTCCCTTTTCCAACCAGGAAGTCAAGAACAAGGAAATTTAACATGACCTCATGACTGTTTTTGGAAAAAYTTTGAAAGAAATGTATACTTTTTTTACGTTTTGGTAATAAAGGCCTTACTAAACACAATTATGACCCTTAATGCAGCTCAAAAACTCTAAATATATTTCAAAAAAAAAATTTTTTTTTTGAAAATGTGCTATACCAAATGGTTGATTTGTCAATTCATGGTAAGGGTAGAAAATTTAAACTAATCTAATAAAAAAAAAGATTATTTCCCATAAAATCAACTTATTCAAACCCTCTAGTTCATTTCTTTGACTATAACTCATTACGTGTTCGTTTATTGTGAATWTCCTGAATGTATTTTCCTTCTCTTTACTGTTGTTGATTTATAAGTTGGGCAAAATATAAAAATAACGGAGTGGCTTACGAGTTTTGCACACTTTTTTCATAATACTATTTAATAGTTCTTCAAATCTTTTTCTTCTCCTGTTTCTCAGACTTCCCCTCACTCTCCGTCTCAGTCAGCTTTGGATTCTCCGTCCCGCTACGTCTCACTTCCGATCCGGGATGGCGTCAGTCCTCCGAGGGCCGAGTCATCCAGAAACCTCAACCCAACCCAACATAACCACCACCACCACCAAGGCCACCAGTCGAGGGCGCCGCAGGCGTACGCCAATCAGCAACCACCGTGTCAACGTCAGCAGCAGCCGAGTCAACAGCAGCCTCCCGCTCAAGCTCAGCCACCGTCACCCTCTCAGACGCAATCTGCCCAGGAGGTGAGAGCACTTATCGGTGCGCTAAATTTAACATCAGCCGGGCTTTCATGGAGTCACTCGGGTGATATCACAGCTCAAATAAATAGAAYAACTTCACAGTAAAAGAAAGATATGGGGTTCAACTGGATTTTTGTTGTCTGAATTTGAGTTCTGCTGAATTTAAATGAGTTTAGTAAAAAAAAATCACAACATTGTTTTTTCTGTCATTTCTCAGGTTCGTCGAGCTCTTCCTGCTTTTCCCACATTTGTGGATGGTGAGTCGAATCCTGCTTTCATCATAGAGTTGGGCAATATTACCAAAAAAATTTAATCACAATTATTGTGGCACTTAGCCAATAATAATTAATAGATGACACTTACCCTGTTTTGTAAAATCATACATACAAATGATAAAACTAACTTTATTTTAGCAGTTTAAAGTAGTAAACTGAGTTGAAACCCACGTTTTCCCAGTTTAGAGTGGCAGTGTATCTTCACTAACGCAGTTTTCCACAGACTGACAATTATTTGCACACGATGCGCTCTACTTCTGTTCCTCTGAACCAAAACAACAAAAACATTTACTTGTTCAGTTTGTGTTCATTTCCTTTAGCTTCATGGTCGTCCCTACTGCTGGTTTATCTGGGGGCCGCTGCTACTCGGCCCCCCCGGTGGGGTGTGCGGCTGGCCACCAGCGTGCTGGGGGTTCCCGGACTCTGGGGCTGGGGTGTGTGCCGGCCTGGCCTGGTGACTGCCTGCTGGGGCTCGGGGCCTCTGGACCTGTCGGGCTTTGGCCTGGAGGG